AAACAAAAGAGAACCATATAGTTCCACTAAAACTCTGGCATCCCACCACTCATTTGCTAACACATGACCAGTTTTTAGTCTTGATGTCTTCCGGTGGTGAAAAAATCACCTATTGTAACTTTAAAATAATTTGAATTTCCTTATAAAACATCGGATTGCTTTTGTTAAATGTACAACCTTTGATACCACCAGTACAATAAGTTTATTGTTGTTGCTTACTACTCTCTATCTTCACTTAGACCAGATTTCTACACATATTACAAAAGCACTTTGAGTAATCCTTAAAGCACTTCCTACATGAACATTTGTATTGTGCATTTGTTTCAAAGGTCTTGTAGGTGTTTCACAGCAGAGCAATGAGACAGAGCAATGCTACACAGGCACACAGCACTTGTTTACAATTTCTACAATCTGTTACCAGTTACACCCAGCTCTTCTACAAACCCTCCCTCAATTTGCTCTGTAGTTCTTCCAGTCTGTTCCAATCTGTTGTCACTTTAATTGCCTTACCTTGGCAGAGCTCACACTTCTGCCAGGGACACACAGTGTGACTTTTAATGATGAAAAGAGACAAGATGAGGATGAGACAGAAGAGCAAGGGGAGGATGAGGGTCAGCCTTGGAGAAAAAGGGACAGGGTTAATGAAGACAGTGAAAGTGGAAGATGAGAGGGTGGTAGGAAAAAGATGAGGTGGGCATAGAAGTATGAGGAGGCACAGAAGGTAAGGTAGAGTAAAAAGGCTAAAAGAGAGCTGCAGAAGAGGCCATTAACTGGTTAATGTTCAGAGGTAGGATGCAAGAGGCACTGCTTTATGCTGAAGTACTGTACAGTAACTAGTTTTAATGTACTCAGTTGGGTAGTGTTAAAATGCTGTGGAGTGTTATGAGGGCTGTATATGCAGAAAGCTTTTTGGCACTTTGACACAAAGCAATTTTTGGAACTGCTGTTGAAGTATTTTCGATCCACATACAGTACATACTGTATGCTAGCTGTTTTTTAATCCTGTGGTTATATGAAGATAAAACAGCAAAAATTATCTTTTGCAAGATGAGGAAAGAAAGTAAAGCCCTTTGACTTCTCAGGATTTTGGGTTTGAAATAGGACAGCTCTACAAATAAAGACCCCTCCATTTGATGTGTTTTGTTGCACACTTAATGTGTTTCTCTTTGAGCTAGATGGCAGCAACAAAAAACAACATTTAATTAGTTTTGTCTGGCACTGGGTGGTATTTCAGTCTGACTCCAGTTTGCACAGGGCCACTGGCAAGCTTACTTGGAAACACTGAATTATTTGCACTTCAGAGTGATGAAAGACAAATTAGAGTTTGAGGTTATGTTACATGTTCTTGTATGTTGCTTTGGATAAGACTTTTATTAACTAAAACTTTGCAGGGTTTTCTGTTTGAATGTTTACAGGCCTGTGTGGAATAAGACACAGACCCGTGTCACGGTAGCTGTGTTAGCATGGTATTTGACATACAGTACTACATTATTTTATACCTATTAGCAAGTGCTGTTTTTTTCTTCTTTTAATGACATACTTTTTTCTAGATGCTACTTATTTACTGTGTTTGCCTCTAACCTTTTAGATTTAAAATACAGCTTATTTTGTTATATTACACAGCCTTATGCTGGTTTACTGTTTGCACATTGAGAGCCGCTGTACCAGAGTCAAATTCCTTGTGTGTCCGACACACCTGGCCAATAAAGCTGATTCTGATCATACATTTATACAGATTCGTACAGGTCTCCACTTTTAAGTAGTCCATTTTTATTCTATTTTTATCTCATCTCCCAATGAACATTCTTTTGTCTGACTGCATTGTTTACTGCCTGTTTATACTGTTTATTTTCCATTGTTCACATTGTTTATTGCTTATTTATACTGTTTATTTTGTTATACTACATAGCCTTATGTTGGTATATTGTTTACTTGCCCCTTGCTGTTGCCTTGCATGGGGATATGTACGTGCACATTGAGAGCCACTGTACCAGAGTTAAATTCCTCGTGTGTCTGACACACCTGCTGATTCTGATTTACATTCCCCTTTTGAGGAAAACATGATCAGCATGTTGTATAGCAAGGCCTGATTAAAAAAGGATTTAGGTAAGCCTCAGTTTGTCCCTTTTATCGTGTTTCTGCTTTGGTCTGTTGTGTTTTAGTTGCAGAAGCCAGAACATGGACTGTATTTTCCAGTTTTGTATGCATAGTTTAGCACAGCTTTTGCTAACCAGCAGCAGAGACACATGAAGGACTTGATCCCTTTTTAGACATAGATTAGGCACAAAGGGAGGAGAGAATGAATGTGGACCCACATCTGATTACAAAAAGAGAAGCAGTCTAACTTAAATGTGAGTTTGGGTACAACAGTGTGTATGTGTGTGTGGCTGTGTAGCTCTGCTATCTTCCCCACTCATGATTCTGCAGACACATAGCCCTGATAGAGTTGTGCCTTCTCCTTTGCTTCTCTGACACTCTTACCAACACACTCTGCGTTACCTCGGTCCAATCAATACACTGCTCATCAGAGTCCTCTTTCCTCTTCCCTCCGTTGGGTGTGTGTGTGTGTGTGTGTGTGTGTGTGGTGAAGGTGAGAGAGAGGGGGAGGCAGTGAGTGAGGACAGAGACAGTGAGGCTTATTTGGATGTAGAATGAAAAAGTGGACTGCTAGGGAGGGCACCTGAATATCTGTAGTGTTGTTTCGAAGACTGATCAAATTAAACATCTACTTATTGATTCTAATTTGGACTTTTTATTTGTCTGAAACATATTGTACTAACTCACTGCTGAGTTTATATTCAGGTGTTCAGCTGAATATAAACTCTTCAGGAAGGAGAGGGCTGAGGGCGAGAAGTCTTCAGTTTTATATCAAAGAGCGTATACAGTGTCATCAGATTCAGTTCTCTTGTGATAATGAACTTGAATTTATTGGTCTCAATGTTGTATTGTATTGTGTACCATTTGCTGTTGATGGGAATAGCTACCCTCCGTCTTTTTAAGCAGTTTAAAACCTTAATAAGGGGATGTATATTGATATAGAGAATATTTATATTAATTGGAAAAATATAAAAGACAGCAAACCTTTTAGGCAACTTATTGTTACTATTGACTTGGTCCAGAAGGTCAAGGAATCAACAAGAATAACGTTGTCGAATCAGATACTGATTCACGTGGTATTTAGCAGTAAACAAAAAAGGATTATTAAGTCTTACAATATGTTCACTATTTTGTCAGATCATAACTTGATTTTCATTTCTGGCAGGCTTTAAAAACAATAGTTCACATTTCCTTCAAATAAAAACTCACATCATGTAGGAGTACCCAGATGCAACATGACTGAATTTGAAAATGCAATTACAGAAATCAGCTGGTCAGACTGATTACAAGGCACTGATGTAGAGGGTAATATTCGGGAACTTATGTCAGTCATTCAGACAGTTATGAACAGATTTCCAAAAGCCATTAAACCTAAATGTAGCCAAGAAATGGCTCTTCCATGATTAAAAGAAGATACATGGGAATTAATGAAGGATAAAGATAGTGCAGCATTAAATACCCTGGTTTCAACCATTGACTGTATATACGATGGACAGTCTGACAGCTCCCAGAAGTGAAGCCACCACGAGTCGAATCTCAGTGCCTGCAGTCCACGTGTCAAAGTGTCCTTGGGCAAGACACTGAACCCACCCCACCCGCTGCCCGTGATGGTGGCGCGTATGCACACAGCGGCCCGGGGCCCTCGGCTCCAAGCATAATCTCTTTGTACGTGTTACAATGAAATAAAGCTTCTTCTTCTAGATGTTATCAGCCCATGTGCATACAAGTGGTCATTTTTCTGGTTAGTTAGTTAGTTTGTTAGTTGGTTTGTTTTTAGTAAGTTATATTATGATATAAAAAGAGTGTGTATCAGATGACTTGACAGCTTCAATTGGTGGTCCGATATGTCACTCAACTACTCCCTACTGCACAGAATATGGTTGCGAAATGCCAAGATGGCAGCTGCTGTATTCACGATATTTTGGCTTCACCTTTGCATAGTCTAGGGAAGTGGTAACGCATCATTGATCTGTTATATACAGTCTAGGGTCTCAAAAATCTGACAATATAAATCACAGCATATCACTAAATTGATATATTTATGTTCAGTTATGTCTCTTTAACCAATGTGCATATGCATTAAACTGGGAATGCCAGAGGCTGATTATCAGAGATCAGAGTGATGACTGGCTGTTTGTTATTGTCTGTGACAGATACTAGGGCAAGGTAAACATCAGGCTTAACATGCACATATGTACCCATATCCCTCTGCCATAGTTTGGCAAGGAACTACAGTATCTTAAATAAATTGTGACTTGGAAAGATAATGTCTGAGATTATCAGGGGGATAGCTGAAGATGCATTTGAGCCTCGTGTGAACTTCAGAGTGCATTTTAAATTTTTATATCCTCATTTGTGTTAGTGTACTAACATTCCATCTGAAAAGCTTCAGGGTCAGTGTGGAGAGTAGGAAAGGTTACAGTACCTAAGACCTATCCTCACAGTCTGTGGGCATATCAGTAGTACAACCAACTTGTAAACCTATCCTTGAACCAGTTTGCCCTCATTTCCAGTATACTTGCCCCAGTGACAACTCTCTTGTGACACAGTAGGATGTTAATTACAGCCAGGCTGCTGTTTCAAGGTCTGAGTAACAATAGCTCAAAGATACACACACACATGAAACAGAATGATAAATATTTGTGCATATACAATATGCAGACATAAATCTGCACGTAAATTCATACTACATGTGGGTGCACACACATATTTATAGTGTATATAATACAGAGACACTGTGCCACCTGCCTGTGTATTTGTTTAAGAGACTGGTGGTTGGTTAATGTTCCAATTAGGAGCTGGCTGGGGATCGTTAAGAAGATGAATGATTCTCTCACACCTTAGAGACCTGAGTGAGAAAAGGATAGAGAGGGAGGGAGAGGGAGACTATTTGAATTGACTCGAATGATGTCACTCTCTTTGGCTTATTTTTCACAATTCAGAACAATTGATTATGTATTTTTCCATTTCAATAGTTCTGTTTTTTTTTTAGGATTTAAACCAAACATCAAGTGAAGTATGTGGTAGATGAAAGGAAACTAAATTAATTAACCAAAGTCGATTTAGCAACAAATTTGTCTTTGAGATTTTTCTTTACCTGCAACCTTACTCCATCACCTTTTCACCATTGCCCTGTTTGACTTTCACGCTTCCTTCCTCCTTGCTGGCGTGCTTTTGCTCCATAGCTATGCCAGTGTGAAATACAATTATGCACCGGAGACATCACCACTAAACCAAGGGGTTTCACACATTTACTCTTCACCCACGTGTCATCCATACACAGTACCTGACCTATATGTACAGTGTGCAATGCATTTATTTCCACTTCATACATAAATTATATGAGCCATAACAGAACCATGTTTTGCCTAGATGAATGAAAGCAATTTGATGTATGTAGTGTTTAGAAGCAGGTCCAGCAGTGTGTTCTGTTATTTAGAGTTTAGTCCCATGGATTTTGCGGGCACCATACTGTAGTATTTAGTATTGAGGGTCAAACAGCAGCTAGATGTTTGGTGATGCTGGGTGATTTAGTGCCAGTGGCAATCAGTCAGAGCAGAGCTAGTGCCTTGTAAATTGCTGCTGGGTTGTAAAACATCAAATGGCTTCACTGGGATAAGGCGACGGTTATAGTCAATTACCTTCTGCCTCGCTTAATTAAACTTTTTGTATGTACACTGGGATTTATTATTGCCCTAGTAAAGGGGCAAACACACTAGGATTGTTTGGCCAGTTGTTGTTTAGACTGAGGCATCTCAACTGATTATACATGGTCTGTTGTTCAGTGTGCCCACTCTATCTTACTGTCAAGACCACAATATATGTCTATGTTGGTGTATATAAGTCATTATATGTGGGTCAGTATGTTTAAAATGTTTCACCTTTGGGTTTCAATAATATTAATGTCTGTTCTCAGCTTAACTTGGCTTTGTTCAGTCTTCATTGACAGTTTTTAATAATGTATATGCGTGTGGTTGTGTGTGCGGGTGTGTGCCTGTGGGAATGCATGCGTGCGTACTTTTTACAGGGACTCTCAATGTGCTCCTGAGAGTGAGAAGCATCGCCTCTGTGGACTCGGTGGTATGGACGAAGTCTGGTCATCAAGGCCCCGATTGGAAGAAAGCATTCTTTGACATCAGCCCCAGTGGACCCTTCCAGGTAAAATCATGGTAACTGCTTTTCTTCCCAACATAAACAACAATGCAGCAGTGAAAAAAGTGTACAACTTGTACACTTAAACCAGCAGTATAATGTTCACGATGTCCATCTACACAACAAAGGCTGTACAGTAGAAGAGTGGATGTAAGTTAAGAGTTTGTGTTTCTTAGAGACAGTGCTGTTACATGTTTCCGTCTTTTGTGCGCTCATATTGGTTGTTTTAAATGGAGACGCTCAACAAGTGCACTCACAATAGACACTCATGTGTTGCAACGCACCCATTTTTCCCTGTGCATCTTTACCACTGAGAGATTTTCAAAAATCTCAACTTTTCAGAATGCGGCAAACACACTGCAGGTCATGTGACAAGAACCAACCAATCAGCTTCACCCTGTCCGTACAACATTCTGTTGAAAGCTCAGCCAAGATGGAGGACAGAATTCCTAAACCAGCTGGTGAAATTCTCCTTGTTTTCTTTGTGCTTGAAGGACGGGAAAATCAGACATTTCCCCTCTTTTTGTCTACAAATAAATCTTGTAGCAGAGCTACTGTAAGGGATTTTTGGTGCTGGAAATCCATTTATATCCTGCAACTTTCTCGCCACCAAGCAGCACAGAGCTCATGGTTATTTAGCAATGGCAGACACCACGGGAGTGCAGGCTACCAAGCACTTTGTAAATAAGGAGAGAGCAGTGCAGCTGGCATTTTCCATGGGTTTTTAGATGCAATAAATGAATGTCCCCTAATGGTCTCCTGCCCCCACAGCCTTACATCAAGCAGCTAAGATGGAGTGCATGAAAAGGCATATGCCTTAATGCATGACCTGGTCACAAGTAGTGTACTCTGTACGGTCTGCTTTATGTTGGAAAAACTGTGAATTAATATCAGCCTCCTGTCTTTGCGTCTTGAGGGTTAGTTTCCACCATGTGTGAACACTAGTGTCAGGTTTGCCTTGGTTGCTCTAAGAATAAGAAAAAAGGGACTATATGTGGAATTATATGGTTTTACAGTATGTTCACTGTATTCCTTTATCCCTGTCATATCTCTCATCTCTGGGACATTTCCTCTGCTGCAGTTGTAAGAGAGGTGGCCACTGGAAGGCCTCAGCTATATACAGTAAAACCAGGGGGGTTATACTCTCGTGGCTGTTAGGAATCAAGCAAGGTTAGGAATCCGTGATAAACTGGCCTTCAAATTCTTCTCAGAATTTAATGATTTTTTTTACCAGAAATTCTCCATGATGGCATTTAAAGCTCCAAAGGCATTCAATTTAGATTTGAGCTCCCAGAATCATTGCGACCTTAAATACCGTAACGTTAGAGTTAAAACATATCCAGAAATCTCTTTTCTATTCCTTAGTGGAGACAAACTATTTGCAGGTATTTGAAAAAAAAAAAGAAAGTTTTTCAAAGCAGCCTTCCAGCAAATTTAGAGAAATAACTCAAGCATCTGCCCTTTTAATGCCCCTGCCAGCATCGAGGTCGCTGCAGCAGATTACAGTCTCAGAATGGAGCAATGAGAGCAGTTGCCAACAGGAATCAATAGCATCATTTTATTATTCAGCAAGCCACACAAATGTGTCTGAAAGTAGAACTAATTAAGGCCATGACAAGTAAGATAAATGTAAATTAATCCCACGCTTTTATACGCGAGACTAGGATGCAATTTTTCATTTATTATATTAAATGTGGGCTCTTTGACATTTTAGGACTGAGGGCAGTATTGATAAATGAGGACCTTTGAGTGAACTCGCAGCTCATTTTTTTTTGCTGAAGATCAGCACCAAGCCTATCCACACAGTAACCAGAGGATTATTTGCTTTATCAAGAATGTGCTGATCTCAGGGCTGAGAACTAAGAGTTCACACTGATCTGAAAGCTCCAAATGGCATGCATATGTAGCTGAGCGCTGTCCTGACCTCTTAATAAAAATAAATAAATTAGAGAACATGGGAAGTTAGCGATGCACCAGGTAGATACACTGGATTAGTACTAATAGAAAAATGTCTTCACATGGATCATAGAGATCACTCATCTACATTCAATATTGTTTCTTAGTCACTTTTCAAAACTACGTCCACTTGTAGCTAAGAAATGATGTTATTACAGCATCACTGTGATTAAAGGTATAGTCCGCTGTTCTAATTCTTTACACATTTTGTCAAATTCAGCAAAATTTTCCTGATGTTCCTCTTGCAGTTAATCCGGTGTGCTCAGAATACCTCTTGTATCCTGGCGCTGTAAATGGAGAAGAAAAGGATGTGGGTCGGGCCTGAGTAATTACAGCCAATCAGCACAAGGAGTGCTCTTGCTCATATATAGCAGAGGGGGGAGTGAAAGAGTCAGTATACCCGGTACGCAAGAGTTTGGAAATTCACAGTTTTATAACAACATTAAAGGATTTTCATTGAGGTATTGTTAGATTAGGACTGACCACCAACCCCAAAGACTTAGTCTGTTGCTGTCTAAATATTTTATAGATGTAATGACATTTCTCTCTAAATTAAATAAGTAAACGTAGGTAAAGCAGCTGTTTCTCTCCACTGTCAAGGAAGTTTAGCCCCAGCGGTTTTGATAGACATAAGACTTAAAACCAAATTAATTATTCTTTTTTCAGAATCCCTGTAATTAAATAAATACTACATTAATGTTACATTAATGTAAATAATTCTAATGGTTTAAAAATGGTTTCTCACCATTGGTAGGTTTAAGGTAGGATTTTTTTCCCCCTAAATTCTGATTAGTATAAAAACTGAATTAATTCCCTTTTTCAGAATTTCTGTAATTATATATACAAAGTTAGATATTTTTAGAAACCGTCTTCTTAACTAACATAGTGTGGCAAGGTAGTGGGCTCACCATGGGGAAGGGAAGAAGATCTGCGTTGTTGGACCAACGCTACCTGTTGGATTTAATTTCATTAATTGTGAATGTTTTGATACGGTTGCTTGTAATACTAGGGGTTGTTTGGGATAGATGTGAGAGATCACCACTGGACATATGCTACCTGTTGGAGATAATGTTTTCACTTCTCAAGGGAATGTAAGAGTAAGTCTTCTGTTAAAAACTCTGCACATTGCATGCTTGGTAAATAAAGGGTTTCTGAAAAGAGAAAGGAACAGATAAGTTTTAAACTATCTTAGGCTTCTGAAAATATGTAATTTGTTTATATTTAATTACAGAAATTCTGAAAAATAGAATTAATTAATTCAGTTTTCACACTAATCAAAATTTAGAGTGAAAAACATCTTACGTTAAACCTTATCTATGATGAGAAACAACTGCATTTGAATTATTTAATTTACAATATTAATTTAATATTTATATAATTACATCAACTCTGAAAGGAGAATTAATTAATTTGGTTTTAAGCCTTACATCTATCAAAACTATTGGGGCTAAACTTCCTTGAAATTAAATTAACCCACACAGTGGAGAGAAACAGCTTCTTTTCCTAAGCTTAATTATTTAATTAGAGACAGACATTAATCATTACATCTATAAAATATTTAGAGAACAACAAACCATGTCTTTGAGGATGGTGGTCAGTCCTTTGCTAGGGAAAGCCTAGTAAAATCCTTCGATGTGGGATCCCTGGTCTGGAGGTGTTGCTCAGTCCTATTCTTACAGGAAACCCCGATAAAATATTTTATGGTGGTGGATAATCTTCTGCCAAACCTATAGTAAATGGTTTTAAAGTGAAAATCTAATATGTAGGTATGAAATCCCTTACAGAATGTAAATAAACTCCATAAAGCAATAGGACCCCTTTGATCTAGGCAGAAGCAAGATGCAAACAAATGGGTGGGGCTAAATCACCTGTCAATCAAATGTATAAATCACTGAGTTTGACAGATGTTACAGTGTATATCCCTCTCCTATTCATTGCTTCATTCCACGAGTCTACATTACCCAGGAGGAGTGGACGTGCTGGATTCTGCCACGTCTCATCGAACTGAAATTAAGCTCCAGAGCTACAGCCTTTCCTAGTTTGAGCCCATACAATGTTTTATTCTTTAGTCCACCAGAAGTTTAAAGTTTACTTTGCACATTCAGTCAATAATGGAAGAAAATGGTCTGTGAGACATAACAGAGGAGGTGCCTGTGTTTGAGCTCGGTCTGTTGGTACAGCATCGAGGTCCCTTCGGCTCTTTGGCAGCTGTGCTCACAGGCAGTGCTTCCCTGTTGGGATGTGGCCGAGTAAACTAAATGAGTCAGTCCTCCTTTCTGACTGGACATGATGCTTCCTCTCTCTCTCACTCATTTTCCCAGCTTTTCTCACTCACTGCCTGTCTATCTGTGAGTGTGCATGTGCAAGTTTTCAACCCAGCAGAGGGAGAAAAAGAGCAAGAGCAAAACAAGTGAAGGTTTTGTTGCCCATGCCTCTATCCTCCTGTGTGTGTTTCCTGATCTTTTTCGCTTTCTGTTCTTTCTTCCTGCTTGTCTTTCTCTTTGGCTTAGTTCCGGGACAAAAGGACCAGTTGGGTCAATCTTTACCTTGGTCGGCTTCACACCTTCCTGTCTAAAAGCTGGCAACTAATAGCTCTAACATCAACAGACTCACGAAAAAGTCTTAAACTTTCCAACTGTTCACCCACACAAACATTCCTTCTCCATGTATCTATCTGTCTGTGTTATCTTAATGCACAAACAAAATCACATGCATAAACACTGTGTTAGATGCAGACACATGCACAGATACACACCCACGCACCCCAGTCTCCTATCCCCTACAGCAATTAGCTATGACAGGTCAATTAACAGGCTTATTTATGAGCAGGGGATACCTGCTAGTTGTGCTGTAATGATTCCAGATACTCTCTGTACGTGCACAGGGGAAATTGAATTCATGATGAATGTGGGCTGGAGGCCGTAGCTGAGGGCTGCATTTGCTCTTCATTAACTATGCCTCTACAACACTATGTTTTTTCACCATTAAAGGGACAATTAAATCTGAAACAGTGAACACACTGTATGTTTAGAACTTAATCATATTTTCAT